CTTTAGATTGACTTCTTCTGGTTTTGTATGCAGTTCATCTGCCGATCGGTGAGATTCCGAAGAATGAGATTAAAGACGCCGAGCTGAAATTCTGAGCTTTCACCGAGGGGACCTCCGGTCTGTCTCCGCCTGTGGACCGTCCAGCCCGCGGTCTGTCTCCGCCTGTGGACCGTTCAGCCCGCGGTCTGTCTCCGCCTGTGGACCGTTCAGCCCGCGGTCTGTCTCCGCCTGTGGACCGTTCAGCCCGCGGTCTGTCTCCGCCTGTGGACCGTTCAGCCCGCGGTCTGTCTCCGCCTGTGGACCGCCCAGCCCGCGGTCTGTCTCCGCCTGTGGACCGTTCAGTGCCGGCGTTGAACAAGCTGGTTACCAGTATTTGGAATTGCTTACCAAAAATGACGTCCCCGTTTTGAGATTTGGTTATTTTTGGATCTATATAAGAAAAAGGCCTCCTCCTGCGTCCTCGCACATTGGAGGTTCTGAGATGATTCCACCGTCCCGGGTTCCTAAAAGTGGAATGGAACAATGAATCCTAATCCCTCGAGGTGCCACGTGAGCGGACTGGAGATGAGCTCACGTGGTCACCAATCAACGTATAGCACTTAAGGCTTCTGGCCTCGCAGGATTTCATGGTGACATGTACTGAGCGCAGGAGACATTGCGGACTCCACGGATTGGTTGGAACGGCGTCTCTCTGCTCGCCCGGAGGTGTAAGGATTTATTTGGTGATGAGTCTATTTTGCCATTTTCGTGAGCGAGAATCGTGAGCCGGCCTTTGTGGGCGCCTCTTGTCCCGTGTTCTTCGTATTCAGCACGTCCTCTTTGTGTACTTCTCAGCCTTATGTGCCGCCACAACGTTTGTGAGCCGTGACTATAGAAGAGCTCGTGTTCCAAATATCATAGCGTGAGATTTTCATACGTGTGCAATATTCTGGTGCATGTTCGTCTGACACCAAATGTCACCCGCTGGGCATCCCAGGACTGCACTCCCAGCCACCCAGAGGGGGGTCCCGCTACTCTCCGTGTACCATGTATTGCTTTCATATTCAAGGAGTAAGATAATGTGTGTAAATGACACCGGCTCTTCCAGGGATCCATCGTCTCCCCTCCAGGCATACAAGCACATAAGCGGCGCTCCTCTGTGTTGCCGCAACAAGCTTTCCTGGTACCAGACATTCTCTCCCTCATTATAGGTGACCACCCTATGAAACATTTCACCCTGATTGAGCTCATTGGGTGAAACGTGTCACTGGATGGAAGCATGTCTGATGAGGCAGAGTATGTCTGCCTGACCTGTCTGTTACCAATAAAGCTTGTTGCAGTAACACAGCGGCGTGCAGCTTATCTGTCAGGGTGCAAGTGGAAGCATTGGCAAGCATTAAATCAACAAAGACTCCCCCCGAGTCTGACCCAGAGGGATTCCTCCTGATAACCAGCAGCAGCCATTAGGTGCGGTCCTTTTTAGGGAAAGGCCGGACGGGAGATGTGACCTGAGGGGAGACTACCCTGCTGGCCTTCTGTCACCAGAGTTTGGTTGTCCTGCAGCGTTTTGGGGAAGGGCTCGCTCTCCGCCATGTTCAGGAGGATGGGACTTCTGTTCCTCTAAATCATGAAGCTTTCCCCGAACTGCTTCCATAAATGTCAT